AAAACAGAAGAAAAGTTTTGATATTAATAATTTATTACTATGCGATAAGTCAGGATTATTTTTTGTGTAGTCTTCTGCCCTCTGTTATCAGGTATATCTGATTGTGTACAATAGGATTTTGAGCAAAGTTTTTACCATTAAATTATGCAAAAGGTGTCAGATGCAAAACATTTCAGAAACCCAATGTATCAAATATGATACATTTGGCATTACAGGGTTAAGGGCTCATCTAATTGGTCAAATGCCAAAACAAGATGTCAGCCATGTAGCAGTATCTTTCCTAAATGGCTGGATATAGATCTTGTGCTTCCAGAACTCACTGAGGGACAGAGGGGGACTCCATTTGTAAGGGTTATGCAAGTGATCAAAAATGTTAACTTGCCCTATAACGGGTTTTAATGACACTTACTCCCCCTACTTGGAGGTTAAACGTAGAGTTCCACAAGCATACATCCTTGGACCACTATTATTTTTGATTTATGTTAATAATTTGAAGTCTCAAAAATGTTGTCAACAATTCTGACAAAGTTTGGAGATGATACAGGCATTTTCTATTTACACTCAACAAAAGTATAAAAGCAACATTTTTTATTTTCCTGATGCACACTTGGGGGGGACCCCAATGCGGCACCAGGCCAGCTCAGAGACATTGTCCCTCCAGCATGTCCTGCATCTTCAACTAGGTCTCCTCCCAATGGGACATGCCTGGAACACCTGACGAGGGAGGCGACCAGGAGGCCCGATGCCCGAGCCACCTAAGCTGGTTGTTTCAACGTGGAGGAGCAACGTCTCTACTTAGAGCTCCTCCCGGGTAACCGAGCTCCTCAGGAAACTCATTTCAGACGTTTGTATTCACGATCTTGTCCTTTCGGTCATTACCCACATCTCACGACCATAGGTGAGGGTGGGAACATAGATCGATCGGTAAATTGAGAGCTTTGCCCCCCAACTTAGCTCCGTCTTCGCTAGAAAATTCAGATACAGCGAATGCATCACTGCCGATGCTGCGCCTATATGTCTATCAATCTCACGCTCCATCCATCCCTCACTCGTGAACAAGACCCCGAGATACTTGAACTCCTTCACTTGAGACAAGGACTCCCCGCCGACCTGAAGAGGGGAGTCATCCTTTCTCTGGTGGAGAACCATGGCCTCAGATGGTGCAGATCCTCCTCCCGGCCGCTTCCTACAAAGGTCCTGATTTGATGAGGCCAACAGGACAACATCATCTGCAAACAGCAGGGATGATATCCTGAGGTTCCCAAACCGGACACCCTCCGGTCCCTGGCTGCGCCTAGAAACCCTGTTCAGATTTCCAGGTACTCTT